TTTACCCAAGTTACCTTTACAGAAAATACTTGTTACTTGTCTCAAATATTTTTTCATGCTTAAATGGTTTGCTTTAATAAACTTAAATGGTTTAAAGAAGTTGGTCAAAACAATAATGAATCAGATTTTACAGTGACGATAAGCAGTGTCTTACTTTAGATCTGCCATTCTCTCGATTAGAAACACCTTTTGTAATACCAACGTTTATAACAGCTGAAAGGCAAGCTAAAGTCAAATACTTCTCAGAGGCAGAGCAAATGTTCAGCAGTAACTCACTGCTGCATGTGTGTGCCACTAAAAGCTGCCCAGAGCTGGCACAGATTTGTAAAAACATTCAGGTTTCTTGACAGCACAATCTGGATATAGCTGCAGCTCCGATGGATTAACCCTTGCTGAGATAATGAGCGTTGAATGTAACCTAAAGAGGACGGGATCCACTGCTCCGATCAGCGGATCAGCGGATCGGCGGAGTCATCTGAAGGACAAGGCCAGGAGACAGGCAGATAGAGACGTACTCAGGTCATATCTTTTGAGAAACCTAAGGCTGAAAGAGACAGTAAACATTTTGAGCCAGGGGAGTTGCAAAGCACAGACAGAATATTTTTGAATGCCAAAAATAGTCAACACATAAGAGAGAAAAACAAACGGATCTTTCAAAGTTAACATGAGGTTGCTTTCAAAGCTGCCTGTGCGTGCTATGAAAGAATTCAAATGTAATGGAAAAAAGAGAATTTAGTGGATCATTTCACTAGCATAACTGCTGTTGCCATCACTCTGCCTGGCACACTCTGGTGTGATAGCAAGATACCCTATTACATTCCCCTTAGCCTGTAGCAAACTAACATAGAGGTGTTCTGGCTGAATTTGTAATTCAACAGAAGTCAACATCCATGTTGATGTTTAAAAAACAGTATATTGTGAACTTTCCAGTGTCAAAGTAGTCAAAACATGATTAATATGAGGTGTAAATTGGGTTTAACATGATGTGTGTAAATCAGTGGAAAATGATTTATATTAGCCTTTTACATTTCTGGTTATTTCATTATCTTGAACATCATTTCATTCACATACAGTTTGAGATCTGTAGTTTATTACTTTATTTGGTATCACTGTAAGTATTGTAGCATCTGAAAGGAAGGAGAAGTGTGTGAGTGAGAAAGAACAGTTCAGCTTTTTGCCTTAAACCTTCAAGGTTTCTTTGCAAGGGTGTAACCATGGTATAGATGCTAGTGGGATGGGTCCAAATGAGAGCCCTCCAACCAACATATTTTTGGTTGTGCATTTCCCACAATTCTATGGTATTTATGAAAATTTGCAGATAGTTTTGAGGACTATATCAACATTTGAATTCACATTTAAAGGAATAGTCTGTGATTCCCCGAGAAAGTGGCTGCCCTTCCTCTTGTTATTACATTTATTTAGTTTTGGTTTCTTACTGCTAACAATTAGAATAATACATTTCCCAGTGGTAGGATAGCTTCAAATGGGGAGAACACACACACGTTTTCCTTAACAGAAATACATTGGAAATAACAAGAGACAGCACTCAAAAAAGGAGAACATATGTGACATATTTTCTACCGTATATTGCTGGGGACAGATTTGTGCTTTTTCAGTATTGGAGGGGACATCCGCCCCAAAGAATGCGTGTTTACTCCCTAGTTTTTTTTGGTATGTATCTCCATAGGCTTAAGGCTGGTTTTACATGTCTGAGACCAACTACCAACACAATATGTGCTATTATGTGCAGTTCCTGCCCCCAGCGCATTCAAACAGAGAACACTCATGAGAGAGTGGGGGGGAGAGAGAAGGTCCCCGAAAGAGTGGATTAAAGCTCTTAGATTAGATGGCATCTGGTGACCTCAGCAGCACAGAGAGCAGTCTGCCTGGTGTATGTGGTGAGTGTGTGTGTGTGTGTGAGAGAGAGAGAGATTATCACCACCAGCAGAATGTGCATTAGAGATTGGTTCTCTTTGTATACACTGTGTGTCGTGTGTGTGTGTGTGTGTGTGTGTGTGTGTGTGTGTGTGTGTGTGTGTGTGTGTGTGTGTGTGTAGTGATGTTGCGGGTGGATTGTTAATCCTAATCCACTCATGAATGTACATGCTGAGGACTGACAGGCCATTAGTGCCTGTTTTGTGTTTGTGTATGTGCATGTTTACCAGTGTGTGTTTAGCTATATGCGTGAACGTGCACGTGCATGCGGAGATGCACCGGTATGCACGTTTGTATTCCTGAATGCGCAAGGGTGTAATCTGAGAGTGAATAGGGGGTTAGCCAACCATTAACCAGTGCATTAGCCCTGACTGCAGACAGACTGGAGAAACTGAGTGAGGAGAGGGGTGGTGTGTGTGTGTGTGTGTGTGTGTGTGTGTGTGTGTGTGTGTGTGTGTGGTGTGTGTGTGTGTGGAGGAGTGCTGATACTTTGAGGATTTCAGGGGGAAAGGGACAATGGGGGTGAGGATTTAGCAGCGAGAGTGAGGGGGATTGAGTGCATTAGTGAGCGCATGTGTGTGTCAGTGTGTGTCGAAGGGATTGAGGGGAGCTGACCCATAAAAAGCAGACAGACACACCCTGAGCAAGAGTCAGCCTCCCATCGTCTCCTCTTCCTTTTATTCAAAATATACCCACTGAACAATTAGACGTTTGAATCGACACACCAGTGTGTAAAATATCTGCAATAAACCAAAGCTGAGATGTTACCCTCAGTCACTAGAAGGTATCTGCAATCACAGGCCACAGTTTAAATTGTCATTCAAACCATTCATTTAGGAAAAATTGTGGATTGGTTGCATTTCACTCTGCAGTGCCGCTGTGTCTCTCTCCAAAGTTTTCAAGAGCATTGTACAGGAGAGTAGGAGGGAACGCAAACGACGAGAAAAAAGATAGTTTGCTGCATTGGGGGAAGTAAATGAATCACTCCCTTTTCAATTTACCAGCCAACTAAACAGAAAACTGGCATGGGAAAGTATAAAAGAAACAACTGCAGACATACAAACGCTGATTGTTGTTGGTTGGGTATTTAGCGTTTAATATACTGTTAGTTTTACAGTTGAGTGTGAGGTCAACTCTTGACTGTGGAAACTGCGGTTTAATAAGTTCATCTTGTGACTGTAAGATATCATTAAAAGCTACGGAAAACGCTAGTAAGTGGACCTTGAGTTTAAGATTTTTTTAATTTATTGACAGTTCAAGATATAAAGCCATGTTAGAAACCTTGCAAGTCTTGTCAACAGTTGATGATGCAATGATTTCCTAAACAAGTACAAATTAGAGCTACATCTAATTATTGATTGGCTGCCGGCTGTTTTGATGGTCTATTTGAGTTTATTTTTGATTAATTAACTGATTAAATCGAGAAAATGATTGACAGTCTGTTCAATGATGATAGTGAAAATGAACGTCAAGTTAAATCTTTTTATATTTTCTTGTCTGTAACCTCTATGTTCAGGCTGCGTTCAGGCCCAAAACTGCTGCCGTAGGTCGGCTTAGGTTGGGCTCGGACAGAATTTGATTTGAAAAAAATATTTATATATATAATATTTTATTAACACGTGCAACTGTAATTTAATTTGTTATTGAGTAATTTTGATAAAACTGTAAGTAATAAACTATTTAAATTATTTATTTGTGTATTTGTAAAGCAGTAATTCGGGTTCGGGTTGTGCCCAAAACTGCTGCGGTGGTTCAGTTCGGGCTCACACAGGCCTGAATTTGGGGCTCAATCAAAGCTCTCACATATTCTTTATACTAGAAACATTTGACCATTTCATTCTCCTCATTTTCAACATTGTACAGCTCTTTTCATTTAAGAATGCACATAATTTACATATTTTAATGTAAATTTCTATTTTGTATTTATGATTGCTTGACTTACTTGTACTTGTTTTTCTTTTATACTTTGTATCATTTGACTGCTATGCACTTGGCAATAAACCTGTTTCTGATTGGGGTACTGATCTGAAAGAAGTCCATTTAATGGGTAACATGCTCTACCACCCAGCAGTTCAGGCTATATATTTCTGCTTGTACACACTAGTTTATGTTGCTATATTCATTTTCCTCACAGCTCACTATGGATTAATATTGGGAGAGATGTAAGAGGGATTGAAAAACTGAGAAAAAGGTATGCAGGGATAGACAGAGAGAGGAAGAGAAAGCGAGAGATCACTGACAGGGTGAGAGTGAGAGCCCTCCGATATCGCCTGCTTTCTATTATTCATGAGTTACAAGAAGCAGTGGAGGGGAAGGAGGAGAAGAGATTGTAGCTTTTCGTCTTTTCCTTGAGTGTTGCCTTCCATTGGACCATCTGCCTCCACTGTCTATACCTCCTATCTTTCAGTCTTTTTTTATTTTCTCTCCAGGTCTCTTGCTCCATCATTCATTTCTGTCTTCTGTTGCAGATTTGAAGTTTTGCATACATATCCCAGAGGCAGTGCTTCTTTATGAGGCTGAAAGACTTGTAGTACAGGTAATCAAATGAAAACCTGATGGTCAGAGGCAAATAACTGCAGTTTCTCTGGCTAAGAAACATCATACTGAAGCCCAGCTAAAAGGCAAGATGCAGAAAAAGATGCTACGCGACAACCTAACACAATAACTAGTTAGCTAGTAAGCTAGATTTGGAGGCCATTGGTTGAAGGATTTCTGTTTAGTCAGGCCCTTTTGTAGAAAGTAACTATAAGGAGAAAATTAGCAACATCTTTCTAGCAGGCAGGGTGTTAGTAGTAGCTTTGGTCTAGGAGGCTAAAAACTAATCCAATGTAAATCTAATGGTTGGAGCCAAGGAACTGCAGTTTGTTAGAATTCTACCAGCTGAAAACAAAAGCTGTGTCAGCCTACCATGACAGCTAGTTAGCCAGTAAGCCAAGCGAAGATATGGGCAGTGATTTAAAGATCTGGAGGGAACCAGGCCACTCTTATTATAGATCTGCTGTTGAAAATATACTTTATATTAACACAGGTAGAAACACACATAAAAACCAACCAAGACAATCAAGTTGTCTAAAAATCTTCTACTTTATTCAGTAAGATAAATGTTTTTGTAAAACATTCAATAAAAAATGATCTTTAATTTATTGCTCATTGTCATCTTTACTCTAGGACTTGATCTGATGCATAATAATTTTTCCAAAGCACTCTCACAAGGAATATGTTGCTAGATATTTAGACAAGATTTTATGCTGTCATAATAATAGTAATAACATACATACGTACTCACGTTCAGATTATATAAAAACAAACCAAACAAATAAAGTTACAGTTGCTGAACAGAAAACAGACAAGGGACAGGCAGACTTGGCAATCCTCTCATGTACTTTGGGAGCGAGGCCCCTGTGACTTGTTGCTTTTCCAGTGGTATTGTAAGAGCTAAAAATGTAATGTTGGAGGAGAGAATAAACTTGAGCCTAACACTGGAAAAGCTACAAACCTGAAACCTGAACCTCGTACTTTGGAAGCCATTTTAAAAGTCCCCTTTCATGCATTTATCATGAAATTACAAGGCTATATTTTAACACAAAGCTTTAGTATCATTCTGTCAGCTAGTTAACATTGTACTTTCCATCACGTAAACCTTTAAAGCTACAAAGTAAGTAACTTTTGTGAAAATAACTTTTTGTCATATTTGCTGAAACTTTCACTATATCCTGACAGTAGAACATGAGACAGATAATCTGTGAAAAAATCAGGTTCCTCTGGCTCCTCCTAGTGCTCCTAATAGTATTTGAAAGAATCCACCGGGCCTGAACAAAAGCAACCAATCAGAGCCAAGGTGGTGAGTCTCATTCTCAGGACACTTTGGGTTGGTGGCTTAAAGATTGCTGATTCCCCTCAACCGTCGGTATTTGACAACCTAAAATAAAACTCAGCAATCAACTGTCTTTCACAGCTCTGATTGGTTGTTTTCGTTCAGGCCTGCTGGATTCTTGCACATAACATTAGGAGCTCTAAGAGGAGCCAGAGGAACCTGATTTTTTCACAGATTATCTGTCCCATGTACTACTGTCAGGATATAGTGAAAGTTTCGGCAAATATGACAAAAAAATATTTTAATAAGTTACCTACTGCAGCTTTAAAATAACTAAAACATAATGTCCAAAATAGGGGGATGCATATTGTACATGCCTCTCACTGAATGGAACTTCTAAAATGGCTCCAATTGGAGTCATCATGTTGCATATATGCTTATTGTAGTACTGGAAATCTTAAATTCACTGGCCTCGCTTCAGGTACAGTGATACAATTGCATTTGTAATTGTGTTCCCCATACATATTTTAATAAATTAATTTATTTTACAGGAAGTTTTACAGTTCTAAGATAAATGTAGGCATGTTTAATAAAAATAATTTATTATTAGCAAGTCATGGAGCATGTCACTGTTCAAATTTGTTTGTTTTTTTAAAAAGAGGAAAATCAAATATTTGCAGTTACAAATAATAGGACCAAAGTCATCTGAGCACTGAGTAGCCTTTCGGGAACTGGGTCATCTTGAAGAAAATGTACATAATAAGACTCATTACAGTACTGAGATGATGTGAGGCTCCCCTGTCCCAAGTCATTTACAGAATCCCACATCCTTGCCACTCCTCCCCTCATACACATTCTCACTAAGCTGTGTGTGTGTGTGTTTTGTTGATCTGCTTGGCCTCAGGCCTGCCTGTGTGTGTGTTACACAGCTGCACATCTGTGTGTTTCACAATCTGCAAGGGAGCCTAACATCCAAATAAATGCACCTTTTTTTCAAAAAGATGATATTTTAAAGATGATCACTCACACGCAGGCCAGTTCTGAGGTCAGCGGTGATCATGCCACATATTTACATTCTCGTTTTAAGGAAACTGTGTACAAGGCAGTAGTAGATGGTGATCTGGCAAGGTGTAGTCGATTTTTTGGTCATTTTCTTTTCTATTCTTTTTTTCTTTCAAATGGGGTATGAGGAAGAGGGAGTGCAGACATGGGAAAACAAAAACTAAGATGAGAGAAAGGTCTCGTCAATAAATAAATAAATAAATAAACGTATCGATCAATAAGTTAATAAGTTAAAGGGGTCTGTCTGTACATGTGTGGATTATTCGTTTGCATGTTGGGTGTCTGTGTGTTGTCCTTAGGGGCTGTAGCTAAGGAGGAGAATGAGCAGTACACTCAACCCCCTCCCCCAGAGACCCATAGCTTTGTGACAACACAAACAGAGCTGCTATGACGCTTTCTGACCCAATGACACTGAAGCAAGACAACACTGGTTGCAGATCTTCAGATTGTTAATATGATAACCATGCTTTGCGGCACTGTATGAAATCAAAACTACATATGAAAACTGTAGGAGTCACAATGGGACGATAGCTGTAAGAACTGAAAACAAGGCTAATTTTGATGACACTAGGAACTTTTCTTAATTCATGCATGTTCTTCGTGTCCTCTGTGTAATGCCGTCCATTGTCTCTGTGACATGGATGTTTGGATCAGCCCCAAGCACTTTTGTCTTTGCCGACACACCATACAAACTAGTTTATTTTGAGCATACTGACACCTTAACCAACAAATCTTTGGAATTAATTTCTTTGTCTTTAAAAAAATCAGTTCTCTAACAGTTTGTGGTTAACATATTAAAAGATAAGTATAATTAGCTAACAAAAAAAAACATGCTTATATTATTTGTAAACGCACCATAAGAACCTATTGACTTAGAATTGTAATAAGGATTATTCATACAGTACTGTTACAATGGCTTGCAGTATGGGTATAAAATGTATTACAACTGCCCCATGTTGGATGGGATATGTCTTGAATGCAAATACTATTTACACTCAGTCAGTTCATGTGTCAAAAAACTATTTAAATACACCCAAGAAGCATTAGAGATGGACTGACATCCAACTTCAAAACCACTAAATATGATTCCTTCACTTGTTTGTGTAAGCGTACGAATAGTTGTTTGCTAGCTAATGGAACACTTACTCGTAACTAAATTTCTACAGTGTTCAAACTATCCTTCTTTTCTCTACAACGTTCTGGAGTAAAGCCAGCCTTGATTTACATGTAGCACAGGAAAACCAATATGGGTTATAATCCGATTTGTAATCTGGCCAGTGGAGATGCATATATGTAGCTAAATCTTTAAAAAAGTGTATTAAATCTAGGGCTGCCCCCTAAACCGTCTTAGTCGACCACAGACCTTTGCTCTTGTAACACAGTATCTACCTGGACTGGGAGCTCAAAGGACAGGGGGAAGTTTGTTTACTAGCATAAGAACTAGCATAGGAGAATGAGCAGCAGAACCAGAGCCAGTGACGGAACCAGGTTCACAGCCTCTAAGACTGACAGAGGTCAGGTGATTTACAGTGGCTCCAACCAGGACTCTGACTCCGGAGACGAAACACACACGATGACATCCATCGTGTCGATAAGTGAGTGTTTGTTTTTTTCCAGTTGGAAGTCATAATGTAACCGCACAACTTTACATTCAGAAAGTTGAATCATTACCATTTTTTCCATTAGCATTAAGCAAACGGCTGTTAAAGTATAGATATATATTTAGTTAAATAATTAAATTAATAAAACAGACATGCAACAACTAGTGGACTATTGGCTTTATCTAACGACTGTTAGTCGACCATGAAAATCTTTAGTCTTTAGCCCTGATTAAATCCCATCTACAATTGTGATGACAACAGTGGATGAGATAAAAATGGTCCAAAAGCTTTATGATTAAGAACAAGCTTTTTTCTTAACTTTTGAGCAAATGCACATTAAGAGATCATATCATTTACGAGATATAGAGGCTCTACATTTGTAATAAGGTCCGTTTTTCACTTGGGGGTCTTGTATAACATTAAAACCATAGTCTGTAAGCGAACACAAGCAAATTCTTGGTGTATAAGTATACTGTATAAATGATTTTCATTTAATTTTAAATCATTATAGGTTGCTATAGATTTAATGAATTAAATTAGATTTAGTTTTAATGAGGTGCTAACAACTTTAAAGAGGTTATTTTGTCAACCACAGACTTGCCCAATCTATTAACCTCCAATTAAACAAGTACCAAAGATTTGTTTTGGTGTTATTATAGTGAACATTTTGTAAGTGCTTCGTATGTCGACACAGAACCAAATTACCCCAGCAGATCTACGGTCAGTCTGGCAGTGAGAGTTGTGACTCTACAGTTTATTACAATTAATCAAAAATGTAAGGAGAAAAAAACTGAGAGTAGAGATAGTGAATGAAGAGAGAAAAGCGTGTGACTAGCAGCTGCATAAATAAGTCATCATATATCCATATAGAGACATGTAATAAGAGTATTGATCATCATTGTCATATATCATAGTAATGATGCATTGCCGTGGCAGGAATAAACTTGCAGTGAATATGTGGCAGTCGGGGAAAACCCCAAAGTTAGAAGTGATAGTGTGTGAGTGTATGTCTCAATCAGTGTGTTTTTCTGTGCCCTTGTTGGGGTGTGTGTTCGGGTGAAGTTGGGGGACATCAGCTGTTGTACATTCATGGTGAGAGGTTAAGAGGCGCTGCCGGGCTGTGGCCTTCACAGGCCGGACCAGGAGGGTCGGGTTCAGGGGTCATCTGTAGGTGTGTGTTGGTCAGGGCAGTTAAAGTTGAAAGGTCATGGTAGGGTGGTTGGTTTCTTCTACAGAAGGATGCACTTTCCTTTCTCCACCCACGGGTTGTTCTTCATCAGCTCCGGGTTCAGGAAGGGATCCTCTGGGACGCCGTCCTCTATCCACTTTACCAAGCTTTGCGGAGAGACAGAGAGACATTTTTCAAATTCCAGAGGAAGTTTATTACCACAATCCATCCCCTATCCGCTTTTCCTTTTTTCCATACAAGGCAAGAAAGAGAGAGAGAATCTGAGCTACCAGAGGCCAGAAGTAACTAATTACATTTACTTCTGCGACTGCAGCTTGTTGTGTACTTTTACTTTCAGGAGAAATTTTTATTTAACTGAACTTTAACCAAAGTTGTATACTTTACAGCAGTTAAAATCAGACTACAAATGTTATTAGCTCTCACAATATTTGTCCGTCACAAATACATGAGTAATCTGACTTTTGTTTTTGTGCTTCATTGTGTAATTCCCACATTTTCCACTTGCATGAAAGGATTATTTGATATTCTTGATGAGAGTTGGATGAGAACATCAAAACCACTCTCATGTCTTTAGGGCAAATACAGATCTACCGCACAGAAAGTTATACTACTTCCTGTAGTCTGTAATCTGTAGTCCCATATAACCCTGTAAAACCACAACATGTTGTTTTTAGATCAGTTTTTGTATGGATCAAACAAATTTTCCCCTGATCCTGGACTTTATGCTAAGCTAAGCTAACCTGCTGGTTGTGGTAGCCATGTCTTCCAAACTTTAGATTTGATGGTGCACTGTAAATAGTGTTGCCGTTGTCATACATGTTGTACAGACCTCTCAAGCCACACTGCACTAACGTTACTCTTGACACTCTTGTCGCAAGACCCTCATGTTGACCTGTTAGCAAGCATAGCTTCAGTCCACTGTTTGATGTAGTTGCATCTAAAATGTTAAAACCAATTTCTGACTCGTATCAGTACATTTTTACACCCCTAGAATAAGTGTATTTCTTAAAGTAACACAATGTAACTTTTAAAAGAAGAAATAACACCCTTTTCTACTTTTCATTTGTAAAAAGAAGAATATGTTATTTCATCCCTCAAAGGTTAGACAATCTCACTTTAAATCCAGCTAATTATCCATAAACAGCGCTTTACTTGAGAAAACAACACACTCACTGCTTCTATGTTTTTCATCATTTTTATATTCAGAAGAGTTCAACGCAGGGTTTCAAAACACTGACCCTGAATACTTTTGTACTCTACATGAAAAACAGCATTAGTCAAAACACGGTCCTCTCAAGCAGTGCTGATGAAGCCTCAAATGGAGTGTTTCTTCTCAGTTTCTGTGATTGGCCCTTAATCTACTGGCACTGCAGTGAGAGCATGAGACAGACAAAGAGAGTGCTGTACAGAACCTAATGACTGCTGCAGCTTTGCTTAGTGCTTTGACGTGTGCTGTGGCTGTAACAATAGCCTTCAAGGCAGCATTAGTTAATGAAGCCATATTATTGTTTTATCATTGTGGTGGAATGACTAATACTGTCATATCAAGTATTTATTACAAAAAAGATATTTCCTGCCTTCTGCGAGGAGTGTTTGTTATATTTATGTATATTATTGATTACTGCAGCTACAAATCCCTGCTACCTATCCTACAGTGAGAAACAGGGGTAGAATGGTTCACAAAATGAACAGTATGAACATATGAACATTACAGTTTTCAGTATTTTTCCATAATTGTCATAGGTAACACTACATGTGTAAGGCTCCCGTAAAGCTTCTTTTCTGCATGTGTCTTTTTGACCTCATAGCTTAATTCAAGAGCGCCAAACAATAGGGTAAGAAAGAAGTGTTTGACATTTTCAGTTACTAAGTCGATCAATTGTGTAAGTGGATAAGCAACTTTTTGAACACTGTGTCCAACTATTCCATTTTTATGTATTTAGCTAAAACAAAGCTGTTTTGGCCTCAGAGCTACTGACTTTTTCGGGGCTTGAACTCTGTGCAGATGCTCGTAGAGCCACTGTTGACTAACTACTCACTCAGTCACTGTTTTGGAGGACTTCTCTCGTTTGAAGGCCAGCTGGTACTTGAGGCTCTCCACCTCCTTCTTCATCTGGGGCAGGTCCATCTCATCCATGGCTGCAGCTTGATGTAGGGCTTTTCTACCTGTGCAAAGCGGGGAGGCCAGAGTTATATTTATGCAGGACAGAACACTGTTAAATAGTAGGCAGACACACTTAATACAACTGTGCCCTCCAGCAAGAACACCACGGAGTACATCTGATTTATAACCACATGCTTAGCGATTCCACCTACAGGAAGGGAGAATAGAGTACAAACAAGTGCTGCCAAAACTGAGAGACCCACTTAACACCACAGGATACATTCAGTTGCCTTCTATGCTGTCCTTGGGGCTGTTTCCACTTTAGGGAAAGTTCCACAGCTTTTATGAATATGCCAAATTTAATTACGTTTTCAACCAACATCACAATAATTCAATAGCACATCAATTTTATGCAAATTCTGGTTAATTCTTTCTATATTGCCACCTGAAGTTTGATCATTTCACACCAGTTCATGACTGCAAGCTACAGTACAGTTGGTATTCATTATACAAAGGGAGGGAAAAGAGACACTGATTTGCTTCCATGCCCAAACAGAAGAAAAAGGACGGCATGTACTTATTCTGCATCCCATTTCTTCCAATTCTCCCTCCATCCCCCCTCTCTCATCCTATTGCGTATGCTTCTGAAATATAGAGGTGTCCCAACACAACACTTCGTTCTGTGAGATGAGTTTCTAGCCCTCCTCATTCACGGCTCTATGAAGCTGAACCGGTCAGTGTACTTTGCGACCAACGGACCTCACCAGCCTCACTCCATATGCCTAAACTTACACAACAAACAGCAAGTACTAGCCAATCAGAGTCAAAGTAGAGTGAGTCCTGTGTTGCCACTCAGCACAGGCATACAACAACAATAGAAATCATACAGGGTTAGTAGTATATAGCTATATAGCTATAACTACTACGTTTTACACACTTGTATTGGATTAGTACTCAGTATCAGTCAAATATGCAAAGGTATCAGTATCGGGAAGGAAAGATGGCATTGGAATATCTGTAGCAGGGAGTGAATTCTACAGTTAGTTCAAATAGTTAACTACGTATTGGATAAAGGGTGAAAAAACTAAAAGCAATGGATACATTGTTAATATAGAAGTACAAATACAAACAAGGTAGTGTCATTACATTGAGGCTGCCACACTGAGCTATAGCAGTTGTTGGTGAATACATAAATGCAACACGCAGCTCCCTCCTTTGACATTTTACATTTATAGTCAGATATATAGACAGAACCAGGCTAGCTGTTTCCAGTCTTTATGCTAAGCTAAGCTAAACATGTACTGACTCTCGCTACTTGGTGTTCTCGTCTCACTCTCAAAAACAAAGTGAATAGGTGTATTTTCCAAAATGCAGAAATATAGACAGTATATTTGGGACTAAACAGAGGCACACATACACATTTGATTGTTAAAGATTACAGTGAAATGAAGGCCTTTTGTTGAATGGATTTTGGGCCATAACCAGTTTCTAGTACCTCTATCTGATATATTGAAATCAGGAAAACACTTCCATTGGATATTTACATATAATTAACTGAACTTGACTGTGTAACTGAGGATACTGCAGCCAAGGAAGCCAAACATGCCAGTGGTCAACTCTCTACAGCAATATTGTCTTCATTCTCTTCCGCTGCGTCTTTTTTCTTTGTCTGTTCCTCCCTCCCTCTCGCTCTCACTCCCCACCCACACTGTGTCCACTATACCCTCAATACTCTTCCCCTCTTGAGCGTGTGTGTACTTGTGTTTGTGTACCCTTGAGTGAGTGTATGTGCGTGCCTGTGTGAGTCATTCGAGGATTCGGGTGAGCTGAGGCTTGTCTAGTCTGCACTCAGAATCGATCTCACTGAGGTGCTTCAACACAGAAACAACAAATGGGTTTTTTTTAATACTTGATATTATGCAATTGTCCTTTATGACAGTTTAGTGAGTGAGGGGGCATCGTGAGGCAGGAAATAGCAGCGATGAATTCAACACCTACTTCACCACATGGTCAGGATGCTAATGAAGTTCATAAACAATACAAAAGACATCGATTGTATTTGTATTTAAATGAAACTCTCTACTTCTATTTTTACCCAAATGCACTGTAGTTAGAATGATGGTTGGAAAAATTGGACACGCATACATTAAAAATAAGACTCTAATAGGGCTATCTATTGGCAAGACTCTGGCGATACGATACATATTACAATACAGGGGTTATAATTAAATATATTGCAATATATTATGATATACTGTAACTAATCCACTTATTCGCAGAACATTCAGAAGAGCTAGCTCTCTAAATGTAACAAAATCGGCCTACCAGCAACTATAAAGCTCACTGATTACCACATTATAGCTGTTATAGTTTGCGGTCTCCCCTCAAAAGAAGAATAATTATTACATACTAGATCATCAATATTTAAGCAACCTATAGTGATGACTGGCAGTTAATGATTTTCCCCGCTTCAAAATTGATTTTTGCAACTTTGGAATGGAACTAATCAATCATCTAAAAGCTTTAGGCGTACATGTAAATAGCTGTCTGATTTTAACCATGTAACTTTTTTATACTTGAACGTCTCATATGACAACAATTACTACTTCATAGAAAGTGATTCAAGAGGATCAAGGTTACTGGCTAAAAAAAGGCCAGACTTAGACGGGCAGTGAGAAAGAGTGGGGTGTGTGTATGTGAGTCCCTGTATGCATAAATCTGAATCTGAAAATCTGAATATTAGACAGAGAGTGAGAGAGGCAGAGTGATGACCAGTTCCTGGCTGAGATCAGGTTTCAGCAGCATCCTCCAGAGACGACAGGAGGGTTGAATGCTTTCCTCTTTCTGACTCTATCACTCACCATCGCCTTCATCCCTATTTTCTCCCCTCTCCCTATTCCCCACTTTCACTTCTATTTGTCTGCTCTATCCATCTGTTTCACAGCCTCTAGCTCCTTTTCTCTCGCTTTTTCTCTGTCGGTGTCTCTGTTTGTCTGCTGTCCTTTTCATTTTTCCCCCACTAATTCATCTCACTCTTTTTTTCACTCTTTCTCTGCCTCAGTCACTATCTTTCTAAAAGAGGGATGCACTGAGTTTTGGGGGTAGACTAGCCTTAGGAGGTAAAGGTATTGGCTGATGGTACACTGTGTACAGCTAAAATGACTGCATATATATTTCAGAAAATTCTTCAAAAACAGAAGTGAAAATGAAGTGCATATTTAAGACCCCTTTTAAATGAGTCAACCCATCCACACACACTACTATTGAAACAAAACCCAGATTTTAACAAGTGAACTTACTGTGAGCATGGGACAGATATAGCGCAAAATTACAACAACAGCCACTTTTTATTAAAAATTTAAAAATCTGTTTAAACATGGTTCATTTTTAAAGTGGACAGACCTGTTTTGAATTCAAAACAGACTGTTCGTAGTTTGCCTTGTGATCCAACAGGGGTGTAAAATGCAGCTGTCTAACTCTATTATTCATTCGGACACATTGCGTCTCATTTCAAATCCGTTCCAACTTGGCAGTTCTACGCACAACCACGACACCTTGACCTGTTACATGGACTTCCCTTTTCTATTGAGTCGTGAAGTTTAACCCGTGAACGTTTAGGGCTTATGGGAAACAGTGTTCCGACAATATTAGATTGTTTTTTTAAAACTATTGTCCTTATCTAATCATTTGAAGCAAACCACACAACATACTGCTGAGAACTGTTCTGTTCTGACCAACCCTAACCTCCCCTAACCCTAATCAAGTGCTTAACATAACCATAAAAAGTTGTATCATGCTTTAATTGCATAGAGTGGATTTGTCTGGGAACAATTTGCATTAAGGAATAAAAGGTAGGCTTATGTATGTAATGTATGAATACATTGAATTAAAGCAATGTTTTTCACCACTCACACATCTATCGACCTGCCTATATCCATAATATTTTCTCCATTCTCTTCTCTCCATTTATCTTTTCCATTGTCCTGTCTACCTCTCCTCCTTAAATTACTCTCTTTACTCATTATCCACCCATGTACACGCGTCTATGTTTGTCCAGCTAATTAAAACCTGAGCAAACTTGAAGCCTTTGACAACGCACGATGTAAACATTTCACTGCCATGCGGCTTACTGATGTCTTACACTGTGAGGTTTAAATCAAAAAGATTAGTTGAGGTGGGTTTCCCCTCTGTGGTATTCTCACTGTCTTTCTTTCATTGCTCTCTGGTATCTGTTTTACGTCCGTCTCCTGCTGTCTTCTGCAGAAGCCTCCTCGCTTAAGTGTTCCCTGTCCATTTTCACAAATTTTAAACAGCTAATCAATTACTCCACACATTAACAATCTCTCTTGCTCTTTCTTTTTGTTGCCCAGCCAGGACTTAGTCATGTCCAATTATGGTTATTACTGATAAAACCCTCCAAAATAACATTGATCTAAAGCAGCAGTCAGTTTTAAAGGTGTAGTTGAAAAGCGTTGACAAATGTATTGTGTAATTTATTGTTAAATTACTATAAACCAGTCTCATAAAGCCTGCTCTGCTTACTGTCACAGGGACGACATCAGCTTCCCTACTGTACTGGAGAGGATAAACATGTTGGAAAGTCTTTTTTTCCATTGGCATTCCATCCATCTGCCATCAGGAGAAACTTCTCACAGGATGTGGTAAGGATGTGTATTGGCTGTAGCCTGCTGGCTTTTGACTTTCATGTGTTCTCTGGACATGTGTAGGCTGTACAGAGATACACAGTGGAAATGCGCTGCAAGTGGTCTTAATAATAAAGGCCATTGCAGTAGGGGGGACAACAGACGCGGTTCTGTACATACAACATTGGGTATTTGAATATGCTGAATAAGCAGATGACAACATTTGCACCACTTAAACCCTCACAGCTACAACAATATAGAAAGTATAGTTTGGGCATAAGCCTATACATATAAACATCTGGCTGCTCCACTTCAACTCTCTTTGATTTACAAAGTTTCCTGATGGACATAATTAACTGCTGCTAACTGTATCTGCCTAACAGAACCAGGCTCAGCAGCCGGACTGGACACAGCCTCATAGACCTACAGGGAATTACGTTCCAGTACTGACGTCATTTACAGAGTTTCCTGTTGGAAATGTTGATAAATAGTGAACCGTAAACTGCAGGGGACCATGAATGTCTTTCCTGGCAACCCATTCAATAGTTGTTGAGGTATTTTAGTCTGGACCGACTAAATGACTAATGTAATCCAGTATAGATCTAATTTAGGCCCAACTTCCGGCACACTTCAGTATCAGTGTAATAAATGCTGGTTGAGAGTTCAGAGCAGCAGTGTGTGGTGTTTGGTTGAGGTCTGGGTGTGTTTGCAGTGGTTACTGCAGTGGAGATGGAGCTGTAAGTCTAAACTGGGACACTTAACCATGAGGGGAGGTTGGGTTTCAAGATTATGCTAAGGTATTATGGAAGATAGAGAACAAGTTAATTACATTTGCTTTATTTAAAACTATTCTTTGAGATCTTCTAATCAAACTTTTTCTTTTTCTCTACTTGAAGGCAATTTAGGCCAAATCCAGTAGCTGCAGCGTGTTTTGTCACATGTAATTAATAACTCACAGGAAATGTGAACACATTATGTATCATATATATCATAGCGTGGCTCGGCATTCAAAAGGCTGTTGTGAATTTGTGTGTGTGTGATATGACTGTGTGGTGTGGACTGTGGGGTGGTTGTTTTAGGGGAGGGTATGTAGGTCACATGGTGATTTGGGTCAAAAGCATCCAGAGATTAACCTCTACCCCCTGTCTCCTCCGCTGTCTTCCCAGCCTCACACAGTAATATACAGTCTGTGCATGTGAATGGAGCAGGTGGCAGTTTGAGGTGAGCTGCTACCAGTGCTTAATGTGTTGAACCGCTCTGTCTGACTTATGATGATCTATGATGATGGTAGAGAAAGCAGCTAGAAGGAGAAACTAGGAAACCAAAGGTGAAAGGGATATTTAAAGAAGTGAGTGAGTGCAAGAGGTAAAGAGAGAAAGAAGAGGATAAAACAGAGAAGGGGAGATATGAGGCACAGAGACAGATGAAGGGAAACAGAGTGAGAGACGCTTCTTGCCTCTATAGCTACTGCATTGTAAATAGAGACTAAAAATAGAAAGGAACACGCAGAGCTCCTCTGACCAGCTGAGAGTGGAGACTAAGAAAGAAAGACGAGGCTTGCTGTTAAACTGAGGAGGAGATGCTGCTGAGGATAATAAATGCCAGGCGCTGACAGACGATGTTTGAGCTTTTACAACCAGCCGATCTGTTCTGCACGTCAATGAGCTCTGAAGCGACTGAGACCAGTCCAGCTGATATCACACCAGCACAAGCCTGCCTACATGGGGAAATGTCCAGTCGATGCGATCTGATCAATAGAGGCCTGAACTGGACTGGACGGAAGAAATGTTTTTGTGTGTCAGGACACATTAAGGTCATCTGTTACATATCTGCCCCACTGTCCCCTCATTGTGAGGAGCCCAGTCAGAGTTCTCCAATCTGGCTGTGTTTGTCCCTGAATGTGTGTTTGTGGCCCCCACAAGGAGAAAATGGGACTCAAAGAGGGTTGCCTGATAGAATCAGATTGGCCACCCCTGGCGCCCCTCCTTCAAGAGAAAGGGATAAGTAGTTGGCTTAGCAGTATCATGGATGAATTACTGAAGCTCTGTATGAAGTGACTGTTAACCTTTCTTGTTGGAAAGTGAATCTAATGCGCACAAAGAGATACAAAGTGACTATAATGAGAAACAAAATGATTACAAAGAGAGGCAAAATGACTACAGAGAGACACAAAACAACTACGAGGAGATGCAAAATTAATTACAAATTATTACTACAAATACAAATACATATACACAAAATGACTACTAAGAGATGCAAAACCACACCTCATAAAAAGACTACCAGTGACAGCCATTTTGCCCTTTGTGTCTCTTTCAGTCTGGGTTTCTTGCTCCTTGTAGGACCGGTGGGGGCCCATTGTTTCATAATCTGTACATTGTCTATTTGGAGTTACAAATAGCAGCTATTTATTGATATTATTTTATATTTGAATATTTAAAGTTGGTTATTTGGCATTAATGTATTACAGTGAATAAGCAGGGTGACTATTGGTAATGTATGATTCTTGCCACAAACATTTTTCTTTTTACAAAATGTGCACCCCTTCTCTAAAACAGTGCCCCAGTCAGCCCCCCTATTCAAAAGTTTCTAAAGCCGCCCCTGCTCGGAGCCAGAGGTATGAGATCGTCCATCCTTAAAGCAGGGTCAGGTGAGGCCGGAGGAAGAGAGGGAAAGGGAGAGGAAGAGAGAGATAGAGGGGGAGGAGGAAGCGCAGAGGAGAAATGGAAGTTTTATGTAATATTCGTGGGTTCCATATATCCCAGAATTGAGGTGTGATGGGAGGCTGGAGGCGGACAGCGCAAAGTGTTGATGCACTTTGTCAAGTACACCTAGAATAACCTACTGCGGACATACCATGCCTGTATAAATGATATGTAGACATTCAGTTTTGAGCCGGTTTGATGCCCATATTGTATAGCCAATATTTCATGCAAAATGATGTATTACTCCAGAAAGGCCAGTCATTAGGATATTACCGGTACAACTGGCGCGGTGAAGGACTATAATTGTATAATGTGGCTAGAAGAGCCAGTCGCATCTCTTACCTCACTGATGCGCCGGTGGAGACTGTTGCTCTTTCCAAGTCTGACCGGTGCAGAGACCGACACACGGGTAGAGGATTTTTTTTATTTCCCAGCTATGACACAAATAACAGCAGACTTAATGTCCGTTCACTTTGTTTATCGGGAGGCGGTGCGCGCTGTCGGTATCCACTGGAAACGATCAGGGATAAAATCCGCAGTCTCCGGAGTAAAACAGACGATGACGACCAGTCTGAGGCTGTCTGACTGCTGGAGGGGTCTCTTCTGCTGCTGAAGCTGCCCGAGAATGAGAGGGTGACAAAAAAATAGGAAGCTTACAAGTTAACGAGCTGGTCCGGTTGCGCGCTCCGCCGTTCACTGCCCGCTGCTCTGCGGGGATCCTCCTATATGAGCGCCCGTGCGTGTGTGCGCGCACGGGCGAGAGAGAGTTCCCTGAGGATGCGTTTAGAGAGTTGCCCAGGCGAGGCGGAGGGAGGAGGGGGAGGAGAAGGATCAGAGGCGGGAGGGGGGGATAAGCAGGTAGCTACCAAGGAAGGAAGGGCTGCAAACTGTCTTCATGCTCACTGTCACTGTCACTGTGTGCGTGCGTGTGTGCGTGTGTGTGTGTGTGTGTGTGTGTGTGTGTGTGTGCGTGTGTGTGCGTGCAAGCGTCTGGACTCCTTTTTTGCCCCCATTGCCAGACTCTGGATTTCTGCCCTAATATGGCCACTTATAGCTCCATCTGCAAAAGCCAGATTTAGGTTCTCACTGGGAGGGGAAACATATTTCACTTTGTTTCATTTCACATATGAGAAATAATGCATTTGAGTTGCGAGACCACATAAAACAAGCCGGAGCTTGACTGACTGTATGTGTTGTGGGTGTATACAGTTTAATTGCTGATTCAGTGATTGTATTTTTGTATGCTAGTAACCAGTTTGTTCGACTGTCTCTATAATGATAGTTACATTAGCCTTTAATGGATTCCTCAAGCATTTGATAGAACACATCTTGATAAAGCTGCAGTAGGTAACTTTTATAAAAATAACTTTTTGTCACATTTGTTGAAACTTTCACTATATCCTGACAGTAGAACATGAGACAGATAATCTGTGAAAATATCAGGTTCCTCTGGCTCCTCCAAGAGCTCCTAATGGTGTTTGCAATAATGTGAACACAACCAATCAGAGCCAAGAAAGATAGTTGATTGTTGAGTCTCATTTCCAGGTTGATTCTTACAAATGTCATTAGGAGCTCTACAGCAAGCCAGGGTAACCTATTTTTTCCCCACAGATTATCTGTTTTATGTACTACTCTTAGGACACAGTGAACATTTCAGCAAATATGACAAAAAGTTATTTTTTATAAAAGTTACCTACTGCAGCTTTAAGAAACTAATTGTACTTCATCTGTTTAACCTGTTAGTTTGAGCCATCCCCAGCACTCATTTGAGGTGGTTTAGGCCCAAATTATTCCATGCTGCACTGCAGTTTTCAGGCGGTTTCTTTCCAGAAGATTGGCAGCAAAAAAATCATTAAAATTATTGTTTTCTGAGCAGGTCCATTAAAGAAGTTAATAGAATTTCATATGTTTTACTCACCCAGTCATGCACATTGACTTACATTTTCAATAGCTATCTCAATGCAAACACATGCACATGCACAATCCAACAGTCCAGCAGCACACTGTTCATTCATTTTCATCTGCTCAGGTGTCCTATTGAGAGGGAAAATCCTTTATTCAGCAACATGTCGGATTTAACATATTAATAGAGAACTCAATGAAAAGCCATATTTAACACTGACAGTGTGTGTCTGTGGCCCCCACAGGTTGAAAAAGGGACTCTGAGCAATGGGTGGGGCCAGAGGGGTGCCACGGCTGCCCTTTGGAATCTCATAGTTGGCTTACAGTATCATGGATGGTTTACTGAAGCTCTATATGAAGTGACTGTTAACATTTCTTCTTGGAGAGTAAATCAATTGAACACAAAGAGATGCATAACAACTACAAAGCGATGCAAAATGACTACAGAACAACTTCAAAGAGACACAAAACCATTTCAACGTTTGACCAGTGATGTAACTTCACTCGGAATACGCGGAATACAAACATGACAGTAGCTAAATTTGCAGTTAAAATGGAAGTGCTGACAGAGGTTAAAGATTGATCATGTCTGCACAGTTAATATTATGCTGTAGCAAGCAGCCGGTTAGCATAGCTTACCATAAAGAATGGGGAAAACAGGTGGCTGGGCTTTCCAAAGGTAAGATAAACCATAGATTCAGAGGTGCTGATAGGTGGGATATTTAAATGGATCGTATCGGCTAAAATCCGACCCTTATATTATTATTGGGATTACAGACATGAGTGGTATCAATTTTCTCATCTAACTCTCAGCAAGAAAGCAAATTAATGTGTTCTCCAAAATGTTAACGATTGTCTTAAATATCTTGTATGTGTAAATGAGCATAGACATACACACACAAAAGCATAGTTCAAGTGTATCATAAATCATCTCTAGCACACTCTGCACTAAACTGGTTTAGTAGTTGATCCCATCACAAGTAGAGTAGTTGCAGTTCAGCACTGAGGGAGAACTGGGGCATACGTTCTGGCAGCCACATTCAGAAATTCAGAAAGTTAAAATTCCAGAGTACCTTCAACTACAGTGGTACAGGGCACGTAAGCACAAAAAAACTCAAAATCTTCAATAACTGAAAACAATATATCTATATATATCTAGTATATGATGATATAATAGTTTTTGTCCAAATTATTATTTTGAGAATTTAATGAAAAACAAAATTGGTTACTTGTGATTATGTTGCAATTTCCACCTACCAGCAAAAAGTAAGCCAGCGATCACAATGATTGATTGATTCAGTTGTTGATGTCAGTTGACCCTTTCTAAGTCCCGCCCATTTTTTCTCTGTGCTCGAATCAGGTAGCCTTCAGAACCATGATCAACTTTCTCCTTATTGTACTTAGACATGCTATGTGCTAGGATGGTCCATGTTAAAAAGTGAAACTGAAAGTTGATATGGCTATTATGTTAGCTGCTTATGTGTCCAATATTCCAATACACTTTAGCTGCCAAAAAGCCAGTTAGTTGTTAACTTTTTTTTGTAGCTGAAGTTTTTTTCCCCCCGCTGAAAACAACTACCAGTTGTTGCCGAAAAATTACGCTATCAAAGGGATACAACTGAACTGAAACAGTAAAGTTCAGAACCAGAAAACCAAAACAATGGGCTGAAAAACACCATAAAAGGTAATTTGTTGCAGGTTCATCATTACAAGCAACCTATTTTACGTACAAGTAGCCATGTGATCCATTGTTAATTCATATATTGATAACTGCTTTAAACAATGGTCATGGTTTTAAGTTTAAATATAATACAGCACTTTTATTGCTAGCCATCCCTGTAAGCTCTAACCCAGTGGTTCCCACCATGCACACTTCACAGGCCATTCACATTCCCAGGTTGTCAAATACAGAAACAAGCAGCGTCCAGTTGCAGTCGGATACCACTAAATCCTACACACTGGTTCTTTAAATGCACTTTTAAACCACAACACACATTGTTTTGACATATTTTGAGGGAAGCTCTAATGTAATTCATTTATGATGGGGAGAGTAAATCCTAAATGGAAGCTGAACAAGCAAGACTGAGATAAGAGAAGAGAAATTCTGACAGGAAAATTAGAAAATTGTCATTGTGCAGCCACCCCTCCCCCACTGTAACAGATACTACACTTTACAGGCTCCATTAAGAGCTGTGACCATCTCAGAGAGTTGAGATGCCACGATGCTGACTAGATGGAATTAGTCCCCTTGGCCTCACAGGGTCATGGCCCACCACTCTTTAAAGTCCCCTTGGGAAAAAAAAAAAAATCCATTTCCATTCTATAGCAGACGATTTCCTGTACCTGCCATTGCTGTGCTGCTGTAGCCGGAGCGCAACACTGGGAGCAGAGGCGGTCAACCACTTACACAGAAGGTGTGAAATGTCTGGGAAATTGGCTGTCTCACCGCCCTTGATACCATTGATTCTCAAAAGCAGTAGGTCAGCTTGGGAGCTATGCTGCTCAGCTTCAGATGTACTTATGCTACATTCATGCCATGTCAGCAGAAACAGAAAATAAGACCAACTGTTGGTAAGACTTGGTAGCATTCACATATTTCACACTGTTGCAGGGTTCCATTTCAAACCCCTCAAAAACTCAGACATAGTCTAAAGAAATTGTTTGTTTAAATTGTTAATTTATTTCTGGCCTGCTATGGTGCACACCAGTGATAATATTTACAGAAAGTGGTCAAAAATGGAAAACTTGGTAAAAATCGAGATCGCGAGGTAATGACTGTGATATGATAACTGCGGTCAAGCCAGCTGTTACTCCGATCTCCGTGGTCAAATCAGCCGCACTTAAATTTACAGCGTATTCACTTCCGGTTTTCAAAATAAGGTATTAAGAAAACTAAGTTATAATTAAAACCTACATTTAAAATAAAATGTTACATTAAACTAAGTGTTTCATGTGCCCATGATGAATAAAAAACAAACACTTAATATCAAGTATTTCTACTGCACCAATGTGGAGAAATTCAATAATAAAAGCCCCATATTTATACCTCCAGATTCAATATTTGACCATATTTGAGCTACTGTAAAAACACTTTCCTCAGTAATTCCTTGCTATGGATGGTATATTTGACTTCTACACATAAGACTACAAGTATACTTAATATCAAGCATTTTTACTGTACCAATTGGAGACATTCAACAATAAGATTCCATATTTGTACCTGCTTTTACTGTACCTCAAATATATGAAAATATGCCACTTGGAGATACAAATATGGAACTTTTGTTTAGGCATTTCTTCACATTGGTGCAGTAGAAATGCTTGATATTAAGTATGTTTTTTATTCATCATGGGCGCATGAAACACTTTAATGCAACATTTATTTTAAATGTAGGTTTGAATTATAGCTTACTTTTCTTAATACTTTTATTTTGAAAACCAGAAGTGAATACGCTGTAAATTTAAGAGCGGCTGATTTGACCACGGAGATCGGAGTAACGGCTGGCTTGACCGCAGTTATCATATCACAGTCATTATCTCGAGATCTCGAATTAATTATATCGTTATCTCGAGAAAATTAACACGTTATCACGGGAAAACGAAGGAAATAAAATGTATGAATGCATGGCCCTTTAGGGCTTCCATAATACAGCGTTTAAAAAAAAAAAAAAAACACCTCACAAAAGGAAGTTCCTCTGTAACTCAGGTCATACCTTCCAATGTGTCAGGACTGGTGACCAGAACTCAGACGCAGACCAGAGTTGAAGTTTCAATAAAGGTGAATTTATTTGAGTTGCACGCCAAACCACAAACAA